TGAAAAGACAATGGACAGACAAAAAGAAAGACGAAGACATTTTTTTATAAGAAAAAGGTATGTAAAAGTATAAATGATTAGAGTTAGTACTTAGTACTTATTGGCTGGATTGAAAAAGCTTAAGAAGAAAAATATTTTAAAATTAGATTTTTTTATTTAAGTATCATGGAAAGATACCATAACGAATTCATTTTTAAAATTAGATTTCATTTTTAATTCATTTTTAATTTAACCAGGAGCAGCTGCAGCAGGCTGGGGAACTTGTGTCTGAACATTTGACGTAGGCTTCATCTGCCCATCTGTTCACATTATGATACACATAAGATAGCATGAATAATGCAAGAATCAAACAAACATTGGTTGAACTGAAGGACTAAACAATTGAAAAGGGTTAATTCCCAGTTTATAACTAAAATTTATAACCTTGATTTGTGCTAGATGGCTGTGAACTTGGAGGTGGGTCCTGATTTTGCAAAAAAATGTCAGAGAAAAAAAGGACAGGAATTCTTTATAAATCATGTTACATAAAACTAGTGAGCCAAGAAAAATCAACATACAGGCACGCGCTGGAAAGCTTCATCTATCTCCTCCTTTGTAAGGCCCTTCTTCTCAATAAATGAGCGCCTATGGATGACAGGAGAACCCCTAACTCTGGGATGTGAAAGGAATTTTACAGTATTCTGTACCTGCTCCTCCCGAATTGGTTCAGAATTCACAAAAACAGATGGTGGTGAAATTTGTTTAACAGTCTCTGGCCTAGAATCTTGCTGAGCCTCATTTACTTGCTAGACAAGTTCTGCATAGAAGAATTTTGACTATAGAGTTAGAGCAGGATATAAGACTATTTCTTTCTCATCTTAAACTTGTTCTTAATTTTGTATATACATAACAAACAGCACAAGTGAAGAAAAAGGACAAGATAGTATGGAAATTTTCTGAGGATGGTTTCTTCTCTGTTAAATCAGCGTTTCACCAGATCCTATTGCAAAAGGCACCAATACCACTTCAAGATCAGGGCTGGATATGGGTGTGGAAGCTGCACTGCTCTGAGAGAGTTAGGGTGTTTATCCAGCTGCTTTTGCAAAACAGAGCTTTAACTAATGCTGTTAGATTCAAGTGGCACTTGGCCCCAACTCTGGCATGTCCTCGTTGTGGTGATGAGCCAGAAACTTCCCTGCACCTCTTGAGGGATTGTCCTTTTGCCGCTCAGGTATGGACCATGCTGGGATTGGGCAACCACAATTTTTTCCAATTACCTTGGCAGCAATGGATCAAAAGCTCCCCCAAGAAAGCTTCTAAAGTGCAGACAGGGGAAATGTCATGATATTCTTTTTCCCTCCACCATTTGGCAATTATGGCAGTGCAGGAACTGCTTTATTTTTAAGGGTGACCATCTACCAGCTGCTAAACTTTGTGATAGAATTTGTGATTATGCATGGGATACATACAAGGCAATAGCTTCCAATATTTTGTCAAGACTAGAGATCCAAGATGGATAAGTTGGCTTCCACCAGACCCACCCTTTTGTAAACTAAACACATATGGTTCTAGAATACAGGAGACTGGGTTTTCAAGTGCTGGTGGGGTGATACGTGACCAGGCAGGTGCTTTTATTCAGGACTCGAGCACCTAATTGTGGAGAGGGACTCATTACCCATGGTACAGGTTATTAATGTCTTGAAGGAGCAGGATAGCTTAGCAGCAGTCCTTGTGTTCTGATATTCAAAGGCTTTGAACCGAGTTTGATTCTCTTATTATCCAACACAGGCCTTGTGAAGGCAACTCAGCTGCAGATTTTTTGGCTGGAATTGGGCACAGTTTACCAGTTGGTACTACTGTTTTTGACTCCCCTCCGCCCGGACAGAATGCTTTCCTAGAAGAGGACATGTTAGGTGTGGCATTTCTACACCATCGATTAGATAATTTGCTTTCTTCAAATGTACCAAAAAAGAAACAAGTGAAGAAAAAGGAATCGTTGTCATGATATAAATGTCCAACCCTAAGTCTATAATCAATCGTGCTAAACCCAAAACTAACTCATTGAATATTGGCAATTAGAGTCAGTTATTGTGAATATTAGAGATCAACATTACTCCAAGGCCCTAGCCTAACAGCTAAAGCTTGAGGATGAAATGGTTCCTAAAAGTGAAGTAGGAGATGAATCCCCACAGCAAATTTCTTTACAGTGTTATTCAACCTAATTACTCATAATTCAACAAGGGCATTTCATAGAAGGCCGAACGCTCAATTTGCACCTTGGACATTATTGTTTTCCACTATCAACACCCTTCAAAATTTTCACTCCTGATCAACACCCTCTAGAATTTGAAACCCATAAAAAACCCAATCGTTAACTACCAAACCCCTTATTTCCACCCTAACTTACACGCGACCTAGTTGTTAAATTTTATTGTTTAGGCCAAAGCCCCTATTTGCACCCTCCATTTATTTTTTTTCCGTGGTCAATACCTTCCAGAATTTTTCTTCCTTATTCACACCCTCCACTTTTCAAAACCCGTGAAAATCCCAATATTTTAACGTGCCGTCACGGTCCCGTTAAAAAATACATTACGTGGCACCCAAAAATTGACGTGGCACTATATAACATTAGTAATCCAACGTGGATGCCACGTATACAGTAAAAATAATAAAAAATTATAATATTATCATACATAAATGGCATTTTTTCTTTTTTTTCTTTCCCCCCTCATCCTCGGCATC